AAAAAAAAAAAAAAAAAAAAAAACCCAGGTGGGCTGGCCAGTTAGCTCATTTGGGAGAGCATGGTGCTGGTAATGCCAAGGTCAAGAAGGGTCTGGACCCCTTACTAGTCAGCCGCCACAAAAAAAAAAAAGTTAAAACAGCTAAAAAAAAAGCCTGAAGTTAAAGTAACACTATTGTGGGCCGGCCCGGTGGCGCACTGCTACAGTGCACCGCTTGGGAGTGCGGTGGCGCTCCCGCCGAGGGTTCGGATCCCACATACAGACCGGTTCCCGCTAACTGGCTGAGCGAGGTGTGGGGGCAACACTGAGGGTTGCGATCCCGTTGCCGGTCCCGGTCCGGTATGGGCGCGACACTGAGGGTTGCGATCTGTTGCCGGACATGAAAAAAGACAAAAAGGAAAAAAATAAATAAATAAAACAAATAAAGTAACACTATTGTACTATTGGATACTGAGCTGGATTTCTTAAATGCCTTAAAAAACCCATAAAAATTTTAAGACAGTGATGATTAACTCATGTACTCAAATATTTATCGGTAGTTAGAGCATGGTGCTAATAACACCACGGTCCAGAGTTCAATCCCTGTACTAGCCAGCTGCCAAAATAAAACCACAAAGCCATATATACACACACACACACACACACACACACACACACACACACACACACACACACACATATATATAAAATATATATATTTATCAAAAGCTGTAAAGTACAAACCTAATGATGTCAGCCAAGTTCATCTTTACAGACTTCCTCATTGCCTCTTGCTAACCTTCCCCTCGGAATGACATTGACAGTCAATGTTCTGGATGCTGGGGTTATAGCAATAAACAACCAAAAATCCCTGTCTCCATAAAACTCATGTGCTTATGGAGGCACAAAGGCTAAACAGATAAACAAATAAATTATGTCAGGTGGAGATAAACACTCCAAGGAGAAGGTTAGCAAGAGGCAATGAGGAAGTCTTTAGAAAGGGGAGTCTTGGAAGTCCCCATTGATGAGATGCAGTTGAACAAAAACTTTAAGGACTTGAGAGTGTGAGCCACGTCAGTATTTGAAACAAGAGTGCTCCAGACAGAGGGAACAGCAAATGCAAAGGCCCTGAGAGAGGAGTGTGGGTGGTCTGCCCAAAGTACAGCAAGAAGATGGCCAGTGGAGACACAGCAGAGTGACCATGGGTTGGAAGGAGTATACTTCTCTGGCCCAGAAATTTGGGCTTGGTCATGTGACCTGCTTTGGCCAATGGAATGACCTTGAGTGGCTGGGCTCCTCTTATGCTTCTGTGCCATAAAAAGCACATGGCCCTGGTAGCCTGCTGGCCCAAGGAGGATGAGAGACATGTGGAACACACCTGAACCCAACCCCAAACCTGGAGTCAAGCCCAGTTGAGCTCCAGCAAAACTCCGGCTAACAAACAGATGCATGAATGAGAAATAGGCAACTTGAAAATTTTGTGGTTGTTTGTTACATAGCATAGGAGACTGATACACTGTTTTAAGGTGCTGAACCAGCAATACACCAAAATTTATGGGTTGTCTAATTATTCACAATATAGCTACAATGTAATAGTCAACCCCCAAATGTATCTGACTCTAACAACAATACCTGTGACCACAAGCCACCTTTCCCCACACAAAAAGAACCCTTTTTATTTATTCAATAAGAAAAGTACCTAATGAGTCCCAACTGTGAAAACAAGAAAATTGGCCAACGCTTATCTCTACTTTACTGATTCAATACCTACTCAAACAGCATACTGATAGTGGTTGAAGGATTTTAAACTTAGTTAAAAGCAATTCTTTGACATTAACACTTCAACTTGATTCCCATAAACACACATAAAAATGCTTTTTGGATTATTAGCTGAATAGTCTTCTTGGCTTGTCTGAAGTTGGCCCAAAGAAATGACTGAAACATTTAAAAAAAGAATGTTTCAAAATCAGGAAAGACACAGTCAAGTTAAATAGTACCTTGATATAGCATAATATCTTCTTTAATCACTGCTGAAGTGGGAAGAAAAAAAAGTGAGATGACTCAATTTCATCTGAGCAAAAAGAAACAAAATGGCTTGCCATGGCAAGATATTCTGCAAGTCTTCTGAAACATACGATGGTTTCAGACTTTCTTGAAGGGATGATATCCCATCTGACTCACTTCCCTTTCCTCAGTTCAAATGCTGATAATGGGTCTATTTGCATAAAAAGTGATTTTGGCTAGAACCTATGCAGCCTTTGCAGAATAGACACAAGAATACTTACTCCTGTGATTTTGCCTGCATCTAAGCAAATTATTTTCTCTTTAAAAAAAAAAAAAGCTGTGTACCAAAAAAGTATTTTCTTTCACAAGGGAGGCTGTGTATGAGCAAATATACCCACCATTATTTTTCTTTGGATTTTAACATATTTCCAACTTGATGTATTATTACTATATTACTTATGTCTTTCTTGTCTTTTTTTAGTATTTTGGAAAAAAAGGACAATGATTTATCTAGTACCCTATATTTAGCTTCAATTACTTTTTTTACATTATGGTTTGGGGTAGATACGTTCAATTTTACACATAAATGCTGTGCATAACTTTTTAAATATATTATGGTGTAAAATGATGATGCTGATTATTAGCTAGTCAGTTTTGAATGTGGTGAAAGGTACTGAAATTAGTAGTTAAATTTCTTAAATGTCTGGATTGTTCCATATCAACACATGAATGTATTCTGCTTGATTTCCAAAACTAATTCAACAGGCACTTTACTGAATGTTTGTTGGATAGAAGGTGCTCAAATGGGAAAGGAAATGAGCAAGACTTAGGCTTTTAAGGAGCTTAACTTTAAGGAGCTCTAGGGAGAAGACAGAAATACTGTCTATACCACAAAATAAATGTCAATATTTAAAGCATGCATAAGTAAGTTCCAAAGGAAGACTCAGAGTGAAAAGAAAGGATGGTATATTTCAGGTTAAGAAAACATTACGATCAAGGCCAAAGAAGACCATGCTAAGGAGTCTGGACTTTATCCTGCAGGCAAACAGAAGCCATAAAATGCTTAAAGAGGAAAATAATATGATACAATCTGAATGGGAAGGGAGCAACTAGAAGCATCTGGAAGATGGACTGGAAAGACAGAAAGACCAAAGGCAGAAAAACCAATTAGGAGAGTATTCATATTATCTGTTCAGGTAGTACATGATGAGGGCTAAATTTGGGCAGAAGCAGCTGAATTGATCGTGTTTTGCTCTTTTTATCAGAAGCAAAACAGACTGACTGGTGATTGGATTGGTGATGGTGAGACATGGCTAAGGAAGGTGGGTAAAGGAAGAAAGTGTGGAAAATGACTGTGTTTGTATAGATTGGAAAATTGGAAGAGATGTTCTGAAGGCCAATTGTGATTTCAGATTGGGTTATATTTTTATCTGTAGTTTTTATCCAGAGGATGCTCAGGAGAGAGGTCTGAACTGGAAATCTTGCAGAAGCCAAGGAGAGTAAAGAGTGAAGGGGATGGAGAGAGGATCTTGAGGAAAGCCTTGATGTGGTGCACTGGAAAGGACACCATGTCACCTATGTGGTAATGTGGCATAAAATATTTAACCTGCAAAGAGGCAAATCCAATTGAGGAACATTCTACAAAATATCTGGCCTGACCTCTTCTAAAATGTCAGTGTCATGAAAGATGTAAAGAGGCTGGGGAAGAGTTCTAGATTAAAGGAGACTAAGCAGACATGACAATTAAATGCAAAGCATGACCCTTCATTAGATCCTGAATTAAAAAAAAAATAGCTATAAAGAATGTTATTGGCAGAATTGGGGGTCTTTGAATTTAAATTGTATATTAGATAATGGTGCTGTATCAGTGTTCATTTCTTGAGTGTGATAATTCTATTGTGGTTATGTATGAGCATATCCTTCATCTTGGAAGACACAGGTTGAAATGTTTAGGGGTGAAGTGTCATTATGTATGAGACATAATCATCGAATGGGTTGGTAAGATAAAAAAATCAACTAGCTATACACACATATACGTATGATAAATATACACATAAAATATAAATATATACAATTATATAAAAATTTTAGCATACAGATCTATATAAATAGATGTTAATCTAAATAAATGTATGCAGTATATTTAAGAACATATAAATATAAAAGTACATAAATAAATAGATATAAAGCAAATGTGGCAAAATGTTGAATTAATGGGAATTTTGCCCTAAGTTTGAAATTCTTCTAAATAAAAAGCTAAGGAACCATCATGTTGTAAGCCTGAAATATACAAACAAGTTATCTCTTCGCTTTACCCAGCCCCTGGAATATAGCACTTTATCCTTGTATTCAGTTCTGCCATGATATTCTTGGCTCCCCAAATCATGAAGACCACAGCCTGCTGTGTACTTTAATTTGAGTGCTTTAACGGACATGCTGCCTCTTCGCTTGTGTTGACAGCCTAAATAATAAATGCCTCTAAGCACCCAGGGCTCTGAATCTCACCACTAAAATATGCGCCTTAGTTTCACATGCTTTACTTACTTCAAAAAGGGGGAAAATCCTGCAGTAGAAAGTAACAGCAGAGATACTAAAGCTCAGTCATTTTCAGAATTTATAAGGCGTACAGTATTTTTTCATGCACTGTGCTATCATTTACTGTCCCAGCAGTCCATTAGCTATATTTAAGTCTCATATGGAGAAAGAGAATCTGACTCAGAGATTACCCTAAACCACTGAGGTGTAGTAAAGTCAGGAAACCAACCTCAAACATTTCCTCTTCCTTCTCAAAAGAACTGAAACATGACTTTCCCTCAAGGTTTGATTTCGGAAGACAGTGTGCCTCTGTCCACTGCTCCAGGTTCGTGAACTTCATCAGATTTCCCTCAACTGCCCTCTCTCCTTCCTCATAAATGCGCACCTCCTCAGAGCCCTCATCCACCTTCCTCAACATCTTTCCCATCCTGGCCTAACACCATCATCGCGAAAAGGACCTCATCACCCTGTCAATGAGCCCAACAACCCTGGCCTTACCACGCATGAACCACACCCCTTATCTCTCTAGTGATCTCCATGTACAACCTTCAGCAGCTCACTGGGAGGCTCCATCTTAGATGTAGGAATTCCTTGAAAACATTGTACTTCCATGATGCCCAACTTTTCAATTTTCCTGACCATGGTCTCCAAATCTTCCACCATGAAACTCACTCACACCCTTGACATTTTCTTTCTGTGCTAGGAATTTTGGTTGGACACTTTGCCTCTCTTTATTCTACCCTCATGGAAGATCTCAAGTCTGAAATGAATTCCTGAACACACCATCGTGTCAAACAACAGAGCTTTAAGGGTGAGGAATCAAAGAGTCACAGGTCTCTTCTTTTCTGTGAGGTAAGATTGAGAGGGTCAAGCATATAACCAGTAGAGTATAGGGCTGACTCATGCTGGGTCTTCAGAGAAAAGAAGAAAAGAGGGGGATAGACAGAGCATTTGTGGCCTTCATAAAACCCTGCTATCTAGCCTCGCACAGCAGGAAAAACCAATAAGCAGCTGGCTAGCAACTCCTGTCGCAGCCTGCATTACCACTGTAAAATGCCTTACTTGTTTCAACCTTCTTTTATCAGTTATGCCTCGTCAACTCCAGCTTTCTTTGGACCCAGTCCTAGGCAGAGAACACTGCTGAAGAATAACACCAGACCACACTGAGTATTTCCTCAGCAAATTCACCTTTTACCTAAACCCTCATTGTTACTTGGTAATGTCCCAAAAGTGTCTTCACTTTTCTTAATCCTTAATCATTTTAAAGATTACCTGATCTTTTATTTCACTGAAAAGATAGGAAGTTCTCCAGTCTCCCTTCTCTTGGCTGAAAATGCTTTATCAGAAGTGGTCAATGCATTTATAGTGATCTAGTAGGCTATGATTTATTTTCATTTCCATTGACCTTTCTTTAGCATTTGACCTTTTCATCACATTTCCCTTGAACCTATCCCTACTCCCCAGTCCTTCACTACCCCATCATCCAAATGGAGGTCTTCCCCAATGCATTGCATCCAAGCACCTTTGTTATATATTTCTCATCTCACGCCTTCAGCAATCAATTCTATGGAACTCATTCTCAAACCTCCCCAGCTTGGCCTCTTACACTAGGTATGGACATGTACTTTAACTTCTTTCTAGATAGGACCTAGACCTGCCAGTTCTTCAAACACATTATGTCTACAATCAAAAGTTTCACTGCCTTCTTCAAACCAAATCCCCTCCCCTTGTTTCCTTCCCTCACTTTTTGCAGTCAGTCTCCAGGCCCTGAGAACTTTATTTTCATGTAATAGTCTCCCAGTCATCTTCTCCCACATCCGTCAAGCACAGGCCCTCAAACTCACATATCTCAGCCTTTGCAGTTGCTTCCTAAATGGTCTTTTCACCTATAGAAGTTTTACTTTGGGCCAGAGACAGCTGCCAGAATACATCTTTTTTAGAAATTTCTTACCTGATAATTAAAAACTAAAATGAGTCAAACACCTCTGCCCAACTTTCATGTCATTAGAATGTGACTCCAACCTTCCTCTGCAGCCTTATTTCCCTCTACCTCCTGCTGGGACCCGTCTTTCTACTAAACTGGACTATTGGCTGTTTCCCATCCTTGGCCCAAGATCCTCACCTCTATACCTTCGCTTACGCTATTCCTTTTTCAAGATATGCTTGGTCTCTACTCCATCTTTTGGAACCCTCCATAAATATCAATTGGTCATACAGCCTTCCTTGGTCTCTAAAATGAATGGAACTTTAATACCACTCTGCCTTGTTGTGAATAACTGAAAGGCTGGCTCTCCTAGGGTTAGGACTATGTCACTCATCATTATATCCCCTGGGGCATTTGTAACAATGCCTTGTCTAGAATTGGTATTAGATAATTTAAGCTGATGACTTCAAACTGTGAGCAAACATTTCACTCTTTCCAAATCTTAAGAGAGAACAAAATCTGGAAGTAGCCAGGACACTTACCCATGGATTCTGAAGTTTGACTGCCAACCACTCGGAGCAGCATAGGCTGACTGCTGTCTGACCTCTGTAGAGAGGTAGAAGGAGAAGACACCGTTGTACCATTCACCTTGGCCTCTGCCTGGGGCTAAGGCATCAAAAAGAAAACAGAATTACTTTTCATAATAAACACTCAAACACATATATAAATATAAAAATATAGACACTCATTACTCAGAAATTTTGACTCTTCCTACTTAGAAATCTCCCAAAGACTGTTGAATTTGGAATATTTCACTGTTGATATGATCTACGGATAGTGTCTTTGTATCTGAATTGTGCCCCCTTATAAATCTGAAAAAAAATTGGAGCTACAGTGGAAAGAGACTATAAATCATTAGACTAAATAACTTAAAGATTTAGAAAGTCATGTGAGAATGCTGAGACCAAGTGCGAGCTCAAAAACATAATGGAGAATTCATATTTTTGTGAAGCATTAAGTAACAGGATAGAGAGAACATATCTCAAAATTAAAAATTTCTAGAAAGCCGGGACCATGTCCAAGTAGGGCTTATTACAATGCAGTGTCTTGCTAGATTTTCAATGGATGCTTAAAAAAATTATGTTAAGAATTAGAAGAAGGAAAAAACCCAAAGATATACCAGAAAATATAACTAATTGCGAAGAAGAGAGTTCCATTTCAAGAGGTAAAATCTTCACATTTAGAGAGCTAGCAAAAACCTGTTAGCATTTTTTTCCAAAATGTATTTCAAACTCATCAAATAAGAAACATTTTGGTTGGAAACAATTTTGAACAAAAATGAAGACATATTAGTTTTCCTCTTCTTATATTCCTTGATACCTAGCACTTTGCTACACACATACCAAGCACTGAGAATCGATGCTTGCTGCTCTTATAAAATGGACTATGAATTCTATTTTTTAGTTTTATTTAAAATGAGAAAATGAATGTCTGTAAACATCTCATATTAGAGAGATGTGGGCCTCACTTGCTCCAGCAGCTGCCTTAGCCTATGTAACTGTGACTCCAGCTGTTTATTATGGTCTTCCAGGATTTGCATCCTGGCTTCCAGGCGGCCTTTGTGTTGACGCAGTAGCTTGGCCTCAGCAATGAGCTCAGCATCCCGGGGACTCTGGGGAGAGGTGGGCATCATTTCAGGAGGCGACGGCAGTGGGGACAGGCCTTTATGTTCGTGCTGCTGCTTTAGACGATCATATTCTGCTTGCAGATTCCTGTTGGCATCAAAGAAGTAAAAAGAAAGAAAGAAAGAGAGAAAAAAATTTGAATTTCATCACCTGATTTTGTATAAAATGGCAGAGAGATGCATCTGACCACCACCAAACAACAGCGACCAAAGAGAGGCACTAATGAAGGGTGTTTATGATGATGATCTTACCAATGCTAAAAGAACAAAATAAAATTCAAGCTTTTGACTGGTGTGTGAGAAGAGATGCTTTTCAATTTTTTATGTTATACTAAAAGCCTCATGAGTGCTATGTTCAGATATGTAAGCAGCAAAGGATTTAATCATTTTGTAAATATTTCTTTAGAATGTCATGAGATTAAAATTTTTATACCTCTATCAACGCTTTAGTTTGCTTAAAAAATCATCAAGTATTTTCAACAGAAATGTACAAGAACATAGTAAGAGTATACCCATGTACCCACCACCCTGCTTTAATAAATTTAACATTTGCCATATTTTCTTCAAAACATTTTTGAAGCAATGTAAGATGACAGCTAAAGCTGGAGCTCCCCCACATACTCTCCTCAGTAACATACTATTTTCTCCCCACCATCGTCCCCAAAGAGATAATGCCATATTGAATTCCATGTCCATCATTACCATCCATATGTCCACAAATATTAGGTTGAATTCCATAAAGATGCTGATATTTGCCTGTTTTTTTACCTACAATAATGGCCATTTTGTATGATTCAATCTAATAGCATTATTTTGCATGTTTTTAAGCTTTACATTTAAGAACTTCATGTTAAAGAATCTATATATCATTGTAAGAGTTGCTTTGTGCCTTCAATATTGTTTTGGAGATGTATCCATGTCGATACATAATAGTTTGCTCTTTTAACTGCTGTATGTCAACAACTTTCTCCTGCCCATGAACATTTAGGTTGTTTCCAACTTTTCACTATTATAAACAATGATGCAATAAACTTCCTTATACCCCTTCTCCTTGGATACCTGATTAAAAGATTCTTTACAGAACATATCTTGATGTGGAACTGTTGGGTCCTAGCAACATCTTCAACACTGCTACGTATCACCAAATTGTTCTCCTAAGTGGTTTTCCCCACTTACAGTCTGACATTAGTGAATGAAGTTTTCCATTTGGCCACATCCTCATCACATACTTGGTGTTATCAGACATTTAAGTTTTGGCCAGTCTGATGGGTACATTTTAATTTGCACAGCCTTGATTACTGGTGACACTGAACTTCTTCACATTAACTGGCTTTTCATGTTTCCTTTACCCATTTTCCTGCTGGGCTGTCCTTTCCTTATTAATGTTCTGTATATATTCTAAATGCTTATCCTTTGTCAGTGATGTGCATGGCAAATATTACCTCCTACCCTTATCTTATGTAGCTTATCTTTAACTTTTTCATAGCACTCTGTGGTACAAAAATTTTAAATTTCAACATAAGCCTCTATGTTTTCTGCTTCTTATGTTTTGTTGAGAAAAATCTTTCTTATACTTACATTTCAAAGCTTAAAGTTTTGTTTTTTACATTTATGACTTAATTCACCCAGAATCTGTTTTTGTGCTTGGTGGAAACATATGATCTAATTTTACTTTCCCCCCACAGATAAACTATTAAACCAGCCCCATTCATTGTATAATCCATCTGTTCCCCACTGATTTCTAATGGTGCCCCTGCAATACATCAATTGTCCATAAATACACGAGTGTGCTCCTGAGCTCTCTATCCCATTCTGTTGGTCTATCTGTATATCCTCGTGCAGATCCCATACTACAGCTTTAAATCAACTGGTATCTGGTAGGCCCTCCCATTCCCACCTTGTTCTTCCTCAAAATTGTCTTGGCTATTCTGACTCCTTTCATCTTCCCTACGATTTTCATATCAAGTTTTCATATCTTGTGAAAATCCTTGTTGAAACTGTGCGTTTAAATTACACTGAATTTATAGATTAAACTGGTTAGAACTGGGTTCATATTATTGAGTCATTTTATGTCCATTAATAATGTTTTATATTTTACTGTGGTTTTTTTCCTCTTGCTTTTCAGGTTGAATGCGTAGATCATTTATTTATTATTTTTACTGTTTTCTGAATAAACACATTTAGGGTTAGAGATTTCCTTCTTGGTATCACTTTAATTTTATACCAAAAGTTTTGATAATTTTGTAATCCCTATTGTGATTTTTTAATTTAACCCATAGTGATTTGAGTGCAGTTTTTGTATTTCCAAACTTTTTTTCACTTACCTTTTTAGTGCATATTTCTAATTTAATTGCATTTTAGTCAGAGAACACCCGTATGATGCTCATCCTTTGAAATTTAGCAATACCTTTTGTGACCAAGTTCGTAGTCACTTTTTAAAAATGTTCCTTGTGTACTTGAAAAAATGTGTATTTTCCCATTTGAAAGGTGGAGTCATATAGTGTGCTCATTTTGTTGTTCAAGTGGTCTATATCTTTACCAATTTTTTGATTCCTTGCAGGTATCAATCTTTGTTAGCGAGTGTTGAAATATAATTATGGATTTGATAGTTTTTCCTTTTAGTTCTGTCATAATTCACTTGATGTTTTTGGACCCATGTAGTTAAATGCATAAAAGATCTTGATTTTTCTTGGATTTTTCCTATGTAGTATGCTTTTTTGTTCCTAACAGTGTTTATTGCCGTGCGTTTTATTTCTTTTAAGTATTTCTATGGCTATTCCACTTTCTTTTGGTGACAAATGATGTCCAAAGAAATATAAATAATATTAGCAACATGCAAAGGTCCCAAATGCTTTAGGATTTACAGAGAACACAATTCCAGTTGAGGATACGTCTGACATTTGATACCCAGTGACTGATTAGAACTCTTGATATCTTCCAATTATAGTAAATACCAAAATAGGATGACAGATTTCTGTTGTTCACAGATATTTCATCAGATGAGAGACATTCCTATCCACAAATGTGGGAGATCTATATCTATGAGAAGAGACATGAGACACAAGTGGTGAGTGGGCTAGAAGAGGTTTCCCACTGTACAATCTGAGAAAGGAAGATAATCTCATGACAGGTTTCCTATTAAAGAAATATTTTCTGTTGTTCCGTACCTGGAATGAACGTTCCACAGGAGATGACTTATCTTCCAAAATGCTCAGTTTCAACACGCTGGATATCCACATTGGAACAGAAATAAAACCCAATCTACTTTTTTTTTTTTTTAAGCTCTACCCTGTACCTAATGTCATAAGCTTTCTAGGAATTTATTTAAAGGCATGCAAAAAATAAATGTATGATCTTTTTCATCTGCAGGAAGAGAATCTCCTTCCTGTACTGATTGAAATCCTAATGCTATCAATCTCCAAGGATAGCTGTTTGTGCAGTTTGTTTCACAGCAATCTGCTTTCACAAAGCAGTTATAAGAAGAGATTTATCAAAGGAGGCGTACCTTCAGTCAGATTCTGCACACTGGTCCTCTGGGTGTGAACCAAAGTATGTAGTTGCCCACATGAATTAAATCCAATTTCTGACCACTTAACTGGCAATCAGCTTAAACGCTTCTGTAAACTTGAACCATCACCCAATGTTCACAAGGTCTCATTTCATAGGAATTACCTTCTATTTTTTTCCCCTTGTAGTTATTCACTAAAAGAAAACTATCTTCATTTAAATGTTCTAACTGACAACACTGTTTTATGTAGAATCTTATTCAATTTTCTTCTTTCTATCAGATTGGGTCATCCACGGTGTTTCTTTCAAAAACATTGTTTTTAGAAACAAACTTAAGGATGATACGAGTGATTACTGTCTAACTACCTACTTTTCACAAAGGTACTGACAGAAGACTCAGTTTTCTAGTGATCTTCCTTGGTATCTTGATTCTGTGGGTCTAGTTGTCCACAAGGCTCCCCATTTATGAGTTATTTATAAGTGCCTTTGTTCAGAAAACACGGTTTAGTATATATAACACATTACATTTGTTTTTGTGTATTCCAGTGAAAAACAGAAAACTTTCATTTTAATCAGCCAGGGCTTCTCAAAGCTGAGCTGTGAAGCATACTAATTGCTCTATGTAGGCCTTTCTTTCCTTCCCAGATGTTTGAAATTTCTCTTGGGAGATCACTTCTTCAGTTCTGGAAGATTTTCAGTTATTACAGTTTCAAATATTGCTTCTCTGCCATTTCCTCCATTCTCTTCTTCTGAAACCCCTTAAATATACTCCTGAATAAACCTCTAGAGCTGTGTGGTCAAGTCTCCATTTCTCTTTATTGCTTATTTATATTTCTTATTTTTTTTCTCTTGGTGCTATTCATAGTAAAGTCCTCAGTATCATCTTTTAATTCCCTCACCTTTTCTGATTGGGTCCAGTCTAGAATATAGCCTGTCTATTGAGTTTAGTAACGTCAGTGACTATAGTTTTATTTGCAAATATGTCTTTTCCAGATCTGTTCTTCATCCATTTGTTTCTTAGTATTTTGTTATTTTAGTGAATGGTATGCCCTTATTTATGTCTTTGAGCATTCTAAATGTACTTAAAAGCAATCTTTGTTGTACTGTTCTACCATTTTACTTTCACCTAGACTTAAATAATCTTTTGATGGTTAATTTGGGGACAGGGGCTATCTCTTACTTCTTTGTGTGTTTTGGATTCTGGTTTGGAGACACATTTTAAAAGGGATGGTTTTTATGTGTGTGTTTTCTGTTATATTTTGTGTGTGAGTGTTTTCCTTTATATTTTCCTCTCCTTCTAAACTCATCTCTCTCTGTCAAGTAGTTTTGTAGCTGCTCCCACATGCCACTCAGGGGCCTGTAATCTGGAGCTAGATCTTACATTGGTAGTTTGCAGCTCCTACACTGGGTGACAGGGAGATACCACTAATTCACCAGCAGGTAGTAGGCAGATTGGTTCCAGTCCTGGTTTCAAGACCGTGATGCTCTCCTTCCCAACCTCACTCGTCACCTTTTCCCCAGGCTCTATGAATTAGGTCCATTGCTGCTTATAGGCTGTAGTCCCCTGCAGTAGTTAAAATT